TAGGTTTGTTGACTAAAAGTGGGAATGCAGATAATTAAATGTTACATGACTCCATGGTAATGAGGATTGAACATATATTTAAAAAAAATATGATTATTTTTACCTCTGATTCTTTTTTCCTATCAGAAAGGACTACATTTGCAAATGTATTTATTTAAATAACCTCTTTACTGGATGGAGGCCAAAAACGGTTGTTTTAAAATCCATCCTTTTTTTTTTTTTTGGTTGACAGTGATGGAATAAGTTTTTAGTATTCTGGCATTATTTATATGATGTCCCTCTATGATCAGTGTTTCTTGCAGAAGGATGAACGTTTATTCCTCTTTTTCACTTGAACAATTCAGGCAGTGTTGCTACGTCACAACACGCCTCTCAGGGTGTAGTTACTACAAATGAAAACAATAACTCACTTTTGTCCTAAAAGGAATGAGATGTTAATACAGAAGACATCAGAGACCACACCTCTAAAATAGAAAGGGCGCTAATCTGGCTAATTAAGCAGAACTAAATTTGTTGTATGTATTCATACTCGGTTCTGAATTACAAACCTTGTACTTCTAGAATATTTACGGAGATGCCAGGTGAACCTCATTAAACATGGTCATGTGCTTTAAAACAAAGCCCAGTGGTTGATTGTGCAGCATTGCTGTGGAGTGTTAGCATGAATAGTGATCTATTTGTCAAGAGATTTATGTTCATATACTATGCACTCTACCCTTGACTCTAATAATGCAATCTGACACTCAGTTTATGACTTTAATTATACTTGTGCAAGGCATTTAGACAAATGAAGATGCTTACTTGAAAAGAATCCTGTCTCCTCATCTCTTCATCCTTTTGCGATGTTTTTCTTTTTTTCTTTTTCCCTTAAACCCATTATTTCACTATTGTTGTGACTTAAAATATACACCATGATGCCACTTTGGTAAGTCTTTGACAAAACTCACCAAAGAGTTCATTTAGTTTTCTTCAGCAGATGTTTTTGTGGTCCAAGCCGTGTCATTTCCATACGCAATACATATTTTCCCTTGTAGCTCAGTTTTCCTGCATCTTAGAGCCAGAGAGAAGCCATTTAAGGCACTCTGAAATCGTTCAGGGATGTGAAACTGAACAATCCAACCTTTAAATTTGACCCTGACTGTAAAATGACCCCATATATCTTCCCTTTGATCTTGACATCTTTAACTTAAAATTGGTTAATCATTGATATACGAATTGTTCTTATTTAACATTGTTTGTAATATCGCTATATTTAATTTTCTGGTTGGCTTCATTCTCATTGCTGCTATGATACAGGGTGACTCATTTACAATCCTATGTAAAAATTCTAAATGATCAATTATTGAATGATGTGAATATTTATTTGATTGAATATGATCGTTTCGAGGATAATTACATTTAATCAGAGACGTCATTATTTATATCTGGGCCAGATGAAAAAAAAAAACATTTTGTGACTTGAATATTTATTTGGTTATCAAAGGCATTCTTACCCCTGGGCTGTTTATTTGGCCAAAATTGCATAAATTATTATAAATCTTTTGTTGACGTCTGGTCCTTGGTTTAATTTGGGTATTAAATGTGTGATTCAATCAGTATGTTCGTAGATTCATTTTAAAATTCTTGAAAAGAACCAGTTTAAAACCACTGCAACAAATTGTGTGCCATCATAAAGTTTTTGTATGTGAACTTACAGACGGTTCCTTTTATTTTCATGTTGAATTCCCTTCAATGTTACATTAGCTAAATATTGTAAATATTACTTTTCTAAACAACATCTGGTTACTCAAACATCCAGGATGTCAAAGATATTCATACCTCTCATTAAAGGGTTTTGATATATTAGCACAGATTTAAACACCAGCTTTTAAAATGCAGTACACATTACAAACATTTTTTCCACAGTCACACAGTTCAGCCCTGAATAAAACCGTTTTCATAACTTATCATCTCTTATCTTACCAAGTTGCACACCCAGTGTGTAATCCTACTTGACTGAAAATGATGCAAATACAGAACATTGTTTTTATTGAAATTTGTGGGATTCCAAAGATTTAAGCTGTTGGCATTGTTTAATGTGCAATCAATTAGTTTGGCTCCCACACTAATGTCTATAGCAAATATTGATTTGATCAGAATATGTGACAACCTTTATGCATTTATGTTGATATTAGAAATCCTAGTCTGGAACAGGTTGTCTTGTTGCAAAGAGGGGTGACTTTGAGGGGATTTCAAAAGTATGGTGTTCTGCATGATGTATCATTATATGTTCAATTATTGATGCCTTTGAATTTTGGTGCTTGCAAAAGGGGTGCAACATGCAAAGAAAGCCAAAACTGTATTACAATCAGAAACGGTTGCATGCTTGTGTTGCTGGACCAAACAAACTACAGTTGCAAGGCTTTAAAACAGCATTTCCGTGTCACTGCAATTAATATTAATAACACTTTATCTTGAGCTGTTACTCTTGAAGCTGGGGATTGGCTTTTTTGTTTTTTAAGTGTTTCTGTGCTTTAATAAATCCACGATAACTGTATCATCATGTACATGTGTAAAGAACTGCAGAAAGTGATTGACAGCAAAGCTTAGTTAAATAAAAGTTTTTGTACTCCTCATGTTCGTTGCCTCCTGGTTACCTGAGTGCTGTTATGGCATTTGCTTGCTTGCATCAGACAAAAAAAAAAGACTTTCAAGAGTAAATCCCTCTCTTGTAAGAACTTTATTGCAAGCTGGACAGAATTACACAATGGTTTAGATTAGAACAAAGATAACATGAATGCATACAACAACGCAAAACAGGTTCAGGGAGGTCATGATGTGCTTTTGGTCAACCGCAGCATCATTATTCTGCGACCGGTGTTTGACGTCACACCGCGACCTGCAGTACGCATGCGATTCCATCGTTTCTCAAGCGGTTCATTGAAGGAAGAGTGCTCGTGCGGTCATTTACATATATAGGGCCTTACTTAAATATCGTGCACAGATATGTCCTCGAGTGACTTTTATTTGAGGTACTATGTGGGCCATAAAGGTAAATTCGGCCACGAATTTCTGGAATTTGAATTCAGACCAGACGGTAAGTCAGGCGCCAACTTAGCTTGCTAATATGCTAACAGCCTTTCTGTTGATGTCTGTGCTTGCCTTTTTTTACTAGGCCGAAACGTTTTTCTTAAGCTATTTGAACTTTAGTTATTGTTATTTATTTAGTTACTGGTTTATTTCTTTCGTAATTGTGAAGTAGAGAGGCTGTTTGTTTAGAAAAACAAATTAAAATGTTAGGTAACATTTGAGTTGCTTAAAAGTGTCACTTTAATATCTTAAGTTGTTTCATTTGATAAATAATATTTCTGCTAAGAAATTGTTGTTTTTCTGATATAATATTTCAGTGACTGTTAAATCTTTTCATAAGAAGCTTTCATATCATTTATGGATCATTTTGTTTTCTTCCAGGCAAACTGAGATATGCAAACAACAGTAACTACAAGAACGACGTCATGATCCGAAAAGAGGTAAAGTCAGCTGCGTGATGACGTCACATACATCCAATATTAGGTCATTTATGTTGAGACCTAGGCGTTGTATCTTATGAGAGATTTTCCCCCTCTTTCAGGCTTATGTTCATAAAAGCGTGATGGAAGAGTTGAAGAGAATCATTGATGACAGTGAGATCACAAAAGAAGACGATGCCTTGTGGCCGCCTCCAGACAGAGTCGGGCGACAGGTTTGTAGGAATATATACTTTTGCTTTTATTGTATTAAATTGTATTATTATTTTTACCCTTTCTCTGGTCACCACGTGTGGTTTAATACTCCTAATTGCATCTTCTTTGTGCTGTATAGGAACTGGAGATTGTCATCGGTGACGAACACATTTCATTCACAACTTCCAAAATTGGATCTTTAATTGATGTCAACCAGTCCAAGTAAGCATATTTCATAGATGGATCTCCTCTTGTTCTCTCTGCTTTACTGCATTTTCACTTCAGCATTACTGTCTCATTCTTGAAACCTGGCATTGCAGTACCACAAGTATTATTGACTCTTGTATGATAAATTGCTTGATGCATCTTATTTGTAAATCATTTAAGATAAAAGCATCTGCTAAATGATTTACTGTAATGTAGTTTTTTTTCTTAATTTATTCAGTATTGTCATACAGTTTATTGCTTTCCTTTTTCTACTCCAGCAATGCAGTACTGTGTTCTCTATATTATAAGAGTGGTAACATTTGTGATTTTGATCATCAGGGACCCAGAAGGACTCAGAGTTTTCTACTACCTGGTCCAGGATCTCAAATGCCTTGTATTCAGTCTCATCGGCCTCCACTTCAAAATCAAGCCCATCTAGCTGGGATGAAAGTCATATTTTAGTTATTGTTTGAGCTATTTTCAACATTTGTATATTGCTTGGTGGTTTTGCTTTTTTTTTTTAAATAAATTTGTTCAACTGTTGATTCACTTCACTCTCCATTTCAGAACCTCTTAAACTGCAAAATATCTTTTCAGCACCTTAATGGCGATATCAATATTTGCACACTCTAAAATAGGTACTTTTAAATAGAAGGTACAATATGTACCATACTAGTTTAAAGTTTGGGGTTGGTGAAAACTTTTTACTGTTCTTGAACATCTCTTATTTTCACCAAGGATGATTTGTTTATAAAATACAGTAAGAATTAATATTATTTTAAAATATTTTAATATGCACTGCTAAATTTGTAGTCTTCAGTGTCACATGAAGCATTTCTTATTGTTGGAAACAGTTGTGTTGCTTAATATTTTTGTGGAAAACATGATACATTTTATCTGGATTCTTTGATGAATATAAAGTTCAAAAGAACAGCATTTACTTTTTTTTGGTAGTAATATACAAATCTTTACTGTTACCTTTGAATTAAAGATTACTAAAATCTCCCCAGACTTTTGAAAAGTAGTGTATGCAAACCTCACAAATGTTCAAATTTCGCTGAAATATTTCAGCCAGATATTCAATATTTTATTTTATTTTTTATTAAGCTTGTAACAATATTTACAATCAGAGTATTCATAGTTATCCACATTTTTACATATTATAAGGCAAAGGACAGGTCTTTCAATTATTGTACATAATTAAACTGCAGAATTTTTCAGTGTATGGAAGTACATTGTATCCATGTTGCATTGAGACAAAGATAATTGACTTGAAAAGTATAGATGGATTAAAGCTGCCTGTTGAACCTGGGGGGCAATACACTGCAAATATTTCAAACACAATACATTTCAGGACATCAGCATTTCACAGATTTACCTATAGCCCCATTACAATTACTTATTTTTGCTAATGCATCAAATCACTTCAGCATAAGCTCAATACCAAGCAGTCACAGTTGTCTATCCACACAGCTTATTACTAATACCTTCAGCCTTTAAATATAAACATGTTACACTGATACACTTGAGTCCTTATCTAATAAAAGTAAAACATAAATGTTCTAAATTCAAACTACTCCACAGTGCTTCAATGAACTTAAACACATTAAGTGCACTTTCAATTAATGGGTTTTCCATCAAGTACTGTAAAAATGTCTTCCAATGACTTGTGAACACACTTAAGGAACTCATGAACATTTCTGGCAGGGTAGCTGGACACATTGCAACCGATCCATTCATCATGGACACCATAGCCCACTCCGAAACCATCAGGCACCACTGGAGCAAATCCGCCCAGACTGACCGCGGGGCTGGTAAGTGTACTGGTGGAGAGAATGTTGTGGTTTATGGCGTTATATGCTGGATCCTGGTAGAGACTGTGCAGGGCCATTCCTTTTGAATTAGCCAGGTAGCGCATGGCAAAGAGATGGCGATCAAAGCCTTGACCTAGAAGAAAATGCACAAAAAATATGACAATGAAGTTGAGAGTGAACTAAAGATCTAATTTGATGCCCACCCTCCCCCAAAAATGTAAAAGGATGGAAATTCTGTCATCACCCTCATGTCATTCCAAACCTGTTTGACTTCATTTTTTCTGTGAAACACAAAGACATTTTTAAAAAATGTATTTTTGTCCACACAATGACAATCAGTGGGGTCTAATGCTGTTTTGGACCACAATAACTCTCATTATATGGACAAAAACAGCAGTTTAAGCGTTAAAAAAAAAAAATCTTCTTTTGTGATCCACAGAACAAAAGAAAGTAAGTAATATCAGTTTGGAACAACCTAACAATAAGTAAATGATGACAGAATTGTCCTTTTTAGGCTAACTGCCCCTTTTTTCTTGCTCAATACTGATTAAAATAGATGTCTTGCTAAGATAAACATCAGTTTTTCCCCCCTAGAATGACAAGACATGAATATGCACTAACCCATTGCTGCCTCTTTCGTGAGCTGCCCATGGTATTTGGAGCATTCATTCAACAGCCCCTGTAACTGCTCCACAGTGTGCTGTCCAGGCTGCTCAACGAATGCCTTGGCACAGTGCTCTGTGTGGATGGTAGCGGGACGGATGGTTTCTGTGCGCCCGTGTTTAAAGGCTGCAGTGCTACATGACTCGTATGTGCCGACCGTCTGGCCGTATTGCCGTAGGAAGCCCATCTGGAAAGCCAGCTGAGCGATGGCATCTGGACTGAGCTTCTTCTTCTTAAGTTGCTCCTTTCCACCTTTCTTGAACTCCATGGCGTCGATGGTGAGCTTTGACACGGCGGCCTGGAAGTTCTCTTTTGCTTTTGTGATTCCAGCTTTTAACTCATCAGTGAGTTTAAACTCTAATCGGCACACCGCAGAGGAAGAGTCCACCGCTGCAGGCTGGGATCCAGGCCCGACCAAAGGCTTCTCCGTGGTGTCCTTGAAGACCTCATTCTGGAAGCGAAGAACGGCCACGCCGTCACCCCAAGAGTGCTCAAAATTGATGGCCGCCTGTCCGTCTTTAGCCAAGATGATACTGAAGGACTTGTCGTACCACCGGTTGCAGCCGTCTCCATGAAGCATGTTGTGGGAAATGTGAATATGGTCTCTCATCACCTCCTCATCCAGGCAGAGGCAGAACAAAGCACTGTCTACTAAATGCAGAGCTTCTCCATTTCCAGCGTCCAGTAGTTTCTGTCTTAACCCTGCCCAGGTGTCTCTATTCTCACTGGTTAGAACGCCCAAGGGGAACGAAGGAGCTTTTGTGGGGTCCGATAGGATGTATTTCAAATGAGCTTGAACCTCAGCAGGCTTTATCAGGTTGCCGTCCCGATCTAGAGCATCAAACACATACAGGTTGCCTCGCCTTACTACGAGCAGGTGGCGGCCCTTGTCGTCTGTGAGGAGCTCGTCGCGCTTGTACTTGGGTATACGTGTGGAGTTGAAGAGGCGGAAGTTTTGGGACATATCCAGAGGATAGGCGTTCACCATGTAGGCTCCAAACCATGAGATAGAGGGGGGCACCCATCGGATCAACTTCTTGAAACTATCGGTGTCACTCTTGGCAGGGTTAAGATGAAACACCTCTGGCTCGAGTAGACCAGCACGAAGCGTCTTCATGAACCGGACGGCTGAGCACACCATGTTGGTGGCTCGCACAAGCTGGTCGTTGTACTCGGGTTTGGGGTCAGGGTTAAAGGACATGAAGGGGTTAAAGTTGAGCACAACAGACTCCCGAGCAGACAAGTACATGTCAAACCATGGAGCTGCAAGGCAAATGGGAGAAATTCATGAATGATGTTAATTTACAATTAAAACTAATAATATTCAATTGTTCTTTTTATTACTACATCTCCTACCTGATATGTAACTGGTGTGCTTGTTGTTTTTGTCTAAGGCCACAAGTTCTTCATGTAACTGCTTGCCTATGCCACTCTGGAAATCATGTGCTACTTTCTCTGTATTACTGATGGATTTCAAGGGAGCAGAAGTAATGTTAAAACATTAAAGGGTAATTAGAAAATGAAATGAATAAATTGATATAGATACTTTGGCTTACCTGTACTGTTCATCATTCAGCAGGGGCCTTTGAGCTGCCAGATACCTCCGTATTGTATCTTCCAGTTTTGGGACTGGTAATCTATAAAGAACATGTAAAATTGATATATTTTGGAAAACATATCCATTAAAATTATAATTTTTATACATTTTATTGTGAGACGTTTTACTTGGTATAATTATTTAATGCTTTTATTTAAATAATGATTTTTAGCAATGTTGTTAAACAGTGTATGTAAAACTACCATTCAAAAGTTTGGGGTCAGTAAGTTTTTTTAACAGACATTAATTGTTTTATTTTACAAAGATGCAATAAATTGCTCTAAAGTAATAGTAAGGACATTTATAAGGACACAAAACATTTCTATTTCAAATAAATGCTGTTCTTTTGAACATTCTACTTATTAAATAACCCTGAAAATGTATCACATTTTCATAAAAATATTAAGCAGCACAACTGTTTTCAATATTGATGTTTCCTCAACACCAAAACAGTAACATATATATATATAAAATTATATTTTTGGACCTCTCACCGCCCCTTTAATTTTTAAAATAATATAATATACATATATAATATCACCTGACATGTCTGTTCACTGAAATGAGGGTCTAAAGTGGGTGTGGCCTTTTAGGAAGCAAAGCCACATGGGACACAGTGCCAAAAATTGGTAAGATAAACATCACTTTTTAACATGTTTAAATTTAAATAACTTTATTTAAAAAAAAAAATATGCATGTGCATTAATATGTAAGGAAGTATGTTTGATTGTTGAAAGACTTATTTTATTTTTATTTATATACTAAAACTGTGTTTTTTTGTTCGTTGCCTCGGGGACAATTGTGCAGTTAGACCACTTTTGTTCAGGCAATATCATGCTATAGGGTGGAGATGTGCTCAGATGCATAATCAGGAATATGATGCATTCATGCCCTCCTGGGCAGTTTTTACAAGCTCAGAAAACTCAAAGAATGTGCAGTATTATTATTATTATGCCACAGAGAATGATGGGGAATGTAATTTTGTCCCTCAAGCATATCAGCTCATAAACTGGCTAAATTAGTAGTTTTTTTCTGGCAAAATATATCAATATTCTTCATTAACAGTACACATAATGTGCGTGCATGCACACACTCACAGAGAGAGAGAGAGATTGTGCTTCCATGTTTTATGGGGACATTCCATAGACGTAATGAATTTTATTCTGTACAGACTGTAAATTGTATCCCTTACCCCTAAACCTACCCCTCACAGAAAACAAAAACAAAAATCCTTCTGTATGATTTATAAGTTTATTCCCTTATGGGGACCAAAAATGGCCCCATGGTATTACTATACTCGTGAGGTCCCCATAATGTAGGGAATACCAGTATTCTCTCTCTCTCTCTCTCTCTCTTTCTGTCACACACACACAAAAACACACACACACACACACACTAGGGCTGCACGATTATGACAAAAATCATACTTGTCGATTATTCCCTTGAAATTGTGATTGCGATTATTAATTACGATTAACACACACACACACACACAGTCATTTGGATGTTGGTTTATATGTGTATATGAAATGCGAGAAACATTTATACACGAGGTGTTATTTGTAATTAGTAGTAGATTTTATTTATTAGTTTATTTGATTTGTTTATTTTTTGATATTTGTGATTAGTTGTAACCAGTTGTGTTTGATACTTGTCTAAATAAGACTTTTTTAATGCTTATATTGCTTGTTTTCCATATTCCACTTATACAGAAAACCTTGGTGTTTCAGTACCCTTATAGCACAGTGTTACCTGAGGCAACAAACCAATATCTGGTTCGGGGGTGGGGGGCGGTCACATTTTATAATCGATATATTATCAGGGACCCCCAAGCTCCCAAAAAATGGGATGAAATATTTTTTTATAGAGGGTTAAATTGTAATAACATTTCATAATATTACTGTTTTTACTGTATTCCTGACATAAGAGACTTTTTTTCAAAAACATTTGAAAACTTTTAGGTGGTAGTATACACAGCACCACAAACCCAAGACAATTAGATTACATTTTTAATCTAAGATTATTCTATTTTAGAATGTTTGAATGTAATTCTACATAGACAATTTACCACGGAACAATACTGAGGGAACTAAATGTAAGGCAAGGGGGTATATTTACGTGTAACACCGTGTCCCCATCCCCCTTGCAACCTAAGCGTAGGCTTTGCACTTTCACCTACATTCTCTAATATGACCTAAAACTTTCGTAGACAAACAATAATAATGTATTTCCAGCTAAAATCAGATTCAACATCAAAGATGCAATATCAAAGCACAGCAAAACGAATTCTATGACGTGATTTATATACCATGTGTGTAATTCTATGTCAATTTCCTACCTTGGTAAACTCTTCTGGTAGTGCATGGTCGGGACGACACTTTTGTGTAAATACTCAATCCCAGCTCCATCCTTACTGCTGTATTTACGCTGAGTGCTCGTTAGAACTGAGAGGGCAGGGTTATTCCTTAACCGTTTAAATTTGCTCAGTGTTGAATTATATTGCGTAGAGAGCAAACCTGCCATCATACAACTTGACATTTAAGGAGTTATGATCTGCGTATTTTTCCCTAAATCTCAACTTCAATTGCAAACCTTCTGTTTAATAGTTCTGCAAGCAGCTAACCCACTGAATGAATGTACGTTACGTTAGTGTGTCTGACAGATCCTGTCGCTGTCGGTACGGCCAACAATAATTAGCTAACTGTTACCTGGGTTCTCTTACGTTTCTATTTAGAAAAGATCACAACAAACGTAAAAAAGGGATTTCCTAAGATAATTTTCAATAGCTGCTTAACAAGCAGACAAAATTTACAACGAAATTTCCGATTTTAATGTTTGATTCATTACTTCCGCCTCACCAACTATCACCTTTTTCAACATAAAAGTCCAAGCTATATAAATATGGCATTTGTATAAAACACATATGTAGGCTTAAGTTGTGTATTTAATGATTCAACTGCATTTTTCATTATGTGTTAATTAAATTAGAACTCAAAACAACACAAAATAAGAAAGTTGCCCAGAAATAGATTAAATTAAAACTTTATTTAATTATATTAACTCATTCAAAATAAATATTCTTACTCCTTACATTTCGAATATTTATTACATTTCCATATATTTTGAACAGATTTGAACGCACCCAGGCTATCAAAGCGTGAGACCACAAGCTCCGCCTTTTTGTTCTGATCCTTTCATATGATTGGTTAAGCCACAGATGCGCATGAAGGTGATTGGTCATCGAAAGTCCCTTTGGGAAGCTGTAATCATGAACGACGGACAGCAGCAATGGGAATCAGCCATCAGGCGCATTGCCAGCATCATCTGGACCGATTGTGCTGGAAGCGCGACATAATTTTCCATATTTAGTTTAGAACCTAGGCGAATTTATATAGATTTATTCTAAATTTAAATTGAACTAAGTAATATAATAGAATGTGTACAAAACTTGACATTTTAGGGACCCACAGACGTATTCCTGCTGCGGTTCATCACAGCGATTTGATTGTGGGGGTGAAGCGCTCATCCTCCTCCTCTGCTGTCGCGCTCTGTAACGAATTGTACATTCCATCTATTATAATTCTCATTTAGAAGATAAAACACCTGTCGTCGATATTACAGACCGTTCAGACCGTGCGTGCTGTCTGCATTGCGGTGTGAGGGTATTTAACATCTTGCAGAGGTAAGATTATTTGGACACTGCATGTCTACACAGCACAGCGTTAATGTATCATAACAAATATATTCAGAGTACCAACCAGGATGATTTTCTTTTCCTTCCTGATGAAAATAGATTTCTGTTGTGGAATCCTAAAAACAATACATCTATTTCTAAAAGCTGTTTGCAATCATCACATATATGTGTGATGGGATTCAGTATTAACCCTGAGATTATTTTTTACAAACACTATGTTCTGACCTCAATTCAGCCTTGATCTTATCTTTACCTTTGAGGCTTGCCCACAGCATCTGTCATTGTTTTGACCAAATGCACGGACATTATTGATTTGATTATTTAAGGTACATCATCTAATTTATGTTATTTTATTTTTCAGTGTCTAACAGTCAAAGCAATGGGAGCTCTAAGCAAACAGCAGTTCTTCCAGGAACTGGGATCCGGTTGCTTGCTTCCGACTGTCCAGCACGGTCTGGAACAAGTATGGCAGCTGTTACTCATCTGCCTAGTGTGTAGGCTGCTGTGGAGATTGGGTAAGAGGGTTTATACAACACATGACATGTACTGTAATCTTTTAATGCAATTAAAGGAACAGTTCTTCTAAAATAAAAATGATTTACTCTCCCTCATGTCATTCCAAACATGTGCTTTCCTCTTGTGTAAGGGAATAGTGGCCAGATGTTTAAAGCACCAAAAAGGACAAAAAATACTATTAAAGCAGCAAGTCGGTCATGTACAATGTACAATATCTCAAGTCTTTTAAGCCATATGATAGCTTTGTGTGAGGAACATCTTGCTTGACAGCTACGATCACCATTCACTTTCACTGTGTGATAAAACACTTTGGAGATTCTTCTATAAATAACTTACTTTCTGTTGCATGGAAAGAAAGAAAAAAACCATGACCTTGAGAAAACAATTATAGAATTTGTCATGTTTGGTGGAACTTCTTCTAATACTGAAGTACAATTAAAATAATAGGTAATCAAATGATGCTATGTTACAAATTATTTTTAAGATGTATTTCCTCTCTCAGGTCTGCCCTCTTTCTTGAAACACCTGAGTACGGTGGCAGGTGGTTTTTATACTCTTTACCTGTTCTTTGAGCTGCACATGGTTTGGGTGGTGCTTCTCAGCCTCCTCTGCTACCTCATCCTCTTCCTGTGCCGCCATTCGAGCAGCCGAGGACCCTTCCTGTCCATCACTATCCTCATCTACCTCCTTCTGGGGTATGAAGATACATCCTGTCACGCTCATCTGTTTCTTCATTTTTGCATTTTGCCAACAGTATTGGGAAGTTTACTTTGAAAATGTAATAGGTTACAGATTACAAGTTACCCTATTTAAAATGTAATAAATAGTGTAACTATTTCAGTTGCTTCATTGAAGTAATGTCATTGATTGCATTTGATTACTTTTTGATTACTTTTCTAACGAAGGTTTTCGACTTATAATCATTTTCGAACATTTAAACCAGGAAGGGATAACCTTACAGTAGTACTCAACACTGATTCATGTCAGACTTGAATTCTTCATTCTTGAATCAAGATTATAATTTTTAATTTTAAAACACAGCCACCACAAAATCAGACTTTCGCACCTCTTTTTACTTTGAGATCGTTCTGAGGTTAAATACAGATTTAAAACCATAACAAGAAATAGTAAATATTAATAAAAGAAGTATTCAGATATAACCCCCTTTGTAATCATTAACATTTTCATAAGTAACTATAATTTACTTACATATTTTTTTTCAGTAACTGTAACAGATTACAGTTACATTGATTTTGTAATGAAATTATGTAACGCTGTTACTTGTAACTAGTTACTAATCAACACTGGTAGTCAATGTATATATTTGAGTACAATGGGCATACAGTGTCACATGATCCTTCAGATATCATTCAAATATGCTGATTCGGTATTCAAATTTTTTTTATTATCAGTGTTGAAAACAGTTGTGCTGCTTAGTAGTTTTGTGGAAATAATCAGTTTTTTAGTATTCTTTGAAGAATAGAAGGTTTGATAGAACACAGTTTATTTGAAATAGAATTATTTTGAGTCATTATAGATGTCTTTACTAACTATACATCTCCTATTAATATTGTATTTTTGTTATGTTTTTTAATAGGATGTAGAACCTGGTGAGTCAGAGATACAGAGTTAAGATTCTGTTCTTTCTGTTTCAGAGAATTGCATATGATGGATACAACAACCTGGCATAAAATGAGAGGTCAGTCATTGATTCTGTTTTATTACTGGACATCAGTGACCATTAGACCAGGACTGTATAGATGTTTGTTACTGTGATTAAATTTCAAATCATATACTTGTTGTGGTCATGTAGGTTCCCAGATGGTAGTGGCCATGAAGGCAGTTTCTCTTGCCTTTGATTTGGACAAAGGCATAGTGGAGAAATTTCCCTCTCCAGTGGAGTTTATGGGCTACATTTACTTTGTGGGGACGGTCATCTTTGGGCCTTGGATCAGTTTCAATAGCTACATGGATGCGGTAGAAAGTCGAAAATTTGTGAGTCTCAAATTTGGTTCTAATATAAATAAGAATTAAAGGGGTTTAAGAGCATCACAGGTGCTTACACCAGCACTTTACCGTGTCTATATGATCTTTTTCAGAGTGTCTCCTGGTTTTTGAAGTCAGTCTTCAGCTGTGTGAAGAGCCAGCTCTGTCTGGTCATTTCCAACTGTATTGCACCCTATCTCTTTCCCTATTTCATCCCGGCCTTTGGAGACAAGCTGCTCCGCAAGTGAGTATAAGTTTGAGTCGAGTAAAATGATGTAGTTATTCAGTGAGCACTGAGGTGTAAAGTATGGATTGATTCTTCTACTTCTAATATCAAACGTGTTGTGTTGCTATCTGTGGCTTAGTTTTTTTATTTTTGACTGATCTGTTTTCATATTTTTTCCTCAGCAAGAAACGAAAGATGAGGTATTGTCCTACTTATATTATTTACATACATTTTAATCATGAGGAATAAAGACCAATTCATACAAGCATGAAACATACATCTGCTAAATTTACTCGTAAAAAGAATTAAAACAATGAATTCTGCTGGGTTTGAGATTTCTGTATAAATTGACTTATTTTTATCTGCTTCTTTCTATTTATAAAATATACATTTTGGATTGAGTTTATTAATGCTTTTTATTTCGCATTTCAATGCAGGGGCTCTATTAAAAGGTAGGCAATGCACAGTGTTAAACCTCAATGGTTTCATGTCTCTGTGGTTGTCTCTGATCTGTGATAACCTTCAGTTTTGTAATTCTCCTCATCAGGTGGCTACAGGCCTATGAGAACACCCTGTCCTTCCATTTCAGTAATTACTTTGTGAGTTACCTTGGTGAGACGACCACCACACTGGCAGGTGCTGGTTTCACAGAGGAGAAGGACAATCTTAAGTGGTATGCATAAATTATACAGATTTAATCACTGTCAGAGTCAGAAATCAAATAGAGGACATACCTGTGGCAAAAATGTCATTGAACATGCCCCGTGATCAATTCCTTTTTTCCCCTAAATCTGGCTTAATAGGCTTAATTTAGAATGTTAACTATGGTTTTAGTCGGCTCTGAAGACACTGATGTCACTTACACATACTTACTGTCTGCCTGATTATTTTATATTGATTCAATTAAAGGACCAATTTTGAGAGTGTTTATTTTTACTCCAGTGGAGTTTATGGGCTACATTTACTTTGTGGGGATGGTCATCTTTGGGCCTTGGATCAGTTTATCTCTCAAGCATTATTTTTTAAGGCCATTTCTGTTGTTTCAGGGACTTGACAATAGCAAAGCCGCTAAATGTAGAGTTTCCCAGGTCTATGGTTGAAGTGGTGACTTCCTGGAACCTGCCCATGTCCCGCTGGCTCAACACCTGTACGTGTTTGTTTGTGAATTTGTGTACTTTACTTTTGTATAGTGTTGTATTGGTTTTAATACACTCTGAAATGAATTAAATATGTATTTTACCTCCCAAAAGACTTAAATGACAGCATTTTATTTAGAGCAGGCTTTTGTGTATTATCTTTTACCTCCAAATATTTGGGTAAGTCACATTCTCCACCTTTTTTTTTTCAGATGTGTTCAGGAAGGCTCTCAAATATGGGAGCTTCACAGCTATTATCTTGACATACACTGCAAGCGCTCTGCTACATGTGAGTGCATTTTGGCTTATTGTTCATTTGCCATTATATTGATTATTTCATTTGAATTGACTGCTTTTTTTCTCAGGCTTAAATACAATATTGTATTTCTGTGCTCACAGGGTCTAAGCTTCCACATTGGGGCAGTATTATTTACACTAGGCTTCATAACATATATTGAACATGGTGCGTATCTGTTCAGGTATTATCTGTAAATCTAATAATTCTTTCAAATGTTTTAATCATTTCAAAAGCATTATGTTTAGCAGTTCAGCTGACTAATGCATCTTTTCACAGTATTAATTGTCTTTCAGCTTGGTTGTGTGTTTAATGGACTGTTTCTTTATTCTGTGTTTTAGTGCTTAGGAAAAGATTGTCAGTCATTTTAAATGCATGTGTGCTCTCCAAGAAATGCCCATCTGACTGCAAACACAGACATAAAAAGGTGTTGTATGAATGCATCATTATGGCTGTAGAAGCACTTGTGTGAATATCTTTTTTTTTTTTAAAGGCAAAAAAAAAACACCATAAAAAATGTAAATTATAAAAAACATCTTTTGATAAGCCTTTACTAAATTATTAACTTGTTAAATATTTTACTATTTTAAATCTTACCATTTTATATTATCATTTCAAAAGTTAAAAGTTCTTTAAAAATGTAACTTTTTTATATTTCCTTTTTTTCCTCTAGGAATTTTGGGTATATTTAATTAATGGGACTTTTAGCATGTTAGCAGTACTACATTTAAGATACCTGGGCTCAATTTTTGGCTCCAGCACAGACGACATGGATTCTGATGAGGTACAACTTACTTTTTCTGAAATCTTATGGCCCCTGCCTTCTGTGTAAGTTATTATTTATATTTGTTACATGAATTAATTTATTTTCTTTTGTCTGCAGGACGGCATGGCCAGCCATACCATTGAGAAATGGACACAACTCAGCTGGACAAGCCACTGGTTGACCTTTGGCCTTTGGGTCCTGTATCGCCTTATTCTATAAACACTGAGACCTACATAGACGAGGAGAGATGGGGAGAGGATAGCAATAACTGTGATTGGATATTTTATGTGGGTTTTACTATAGAGGAGTCGTGGCCGTTTATGGCATCACTGTGAACTCTGGATGAACATGACTGCGGCCCAGAGTCCTCAAATCCAGGAAAAACTAACATACAGGTAATATTGATCCACACCATTGGACCACTGGATATTCTGAAGTTTTCTAAACTACCTAAAGTAAAGAAGCATCAAGACTTAAAAAAACAAAAACACAGCAATCCTCAATAAGTGTGAACATGTACTTGATATTCATAGCCATTGTTAATGAATTGATCAAGATTTTGATGACTAATAGATCTTGTAGTTGTAGTTGGTTTTGTTTGATGGTTTAGGATAATTACTTCTTAGTCAGAAAAGAAGGCAAATATTCTCAGTGCTTTTTTTCAGAAGCTCTAAAGTCAAATTGCACGAATCAAGTTTGATTTGGTGCATTTGTTCTGTTTTTTCCCCACTCCCAAATGGAATAACGACTAATACTCATGCTTATTCACTAAAACACATATAATTTGTTCATTACAGTTGTCATGTACGATAAACATGCCATAAAACAGGGGTCACCAAACTCGTTCCTGGAGGGCCAGTATCCTGCAGAGTTTAGCTCCAACCCTAATCAAACACACCTGAACAAGCTATTCTTCTTCTTATGTATACTTGAAACTTCCAGGCAGGTGTGTTGAGGCAAGTTGGAGCTGAAATCTGCAGGACACTGGCCCTCAAGGATCGAGTTTGGTGACCCCTGCCATAAAACTTCCTCATAGGGCTCCGAATGAACATATGATAAAGTTGACATCCTCTGTTTTGTATAAATTGTATGAAATAGTGACAGTAATTCTGTGGGTGACTTTGAAACCTGTGAGACACTCAAATGAGACAGTATTAGTAGTGTTTGCTGGTTCTTATATTTAAACGTTTTTAAAATGTATTAACAAGAAATGGGGAAAGTTAAACCATACAGATAGTGTGTTTTTGTTTTCAGTGTATTTATTTTAATATTTGCCATCGTATTATTGCTGTTTGGTAGTAAATAGTTATTTATCAGCATCATCACACTGAATTATATGGATTGTTTTTAGTGCCAAACAGAACAATAATCATTAAAAGCTAATTAATTACAGGTATGTTCTTATATTACTTTTCATTTTATTTATTGTGTTTAGACATTTAACACACAACACATTTTCTATTGAATCACCCTTTTGATAATCCATCCATATACTTTTATTAGTGAATATTAAATAAAGAGTTCAAATTACACTGATGATTTTGACTGCATTATGTATGTCTGACTGCCAAACTCTTGATAATAAAACAAATTCAAATGAGTCATTTTCTCCCAATTTTTCATGTACACAACCTTGTCATACATGTGCGCAGCGTTTTGTATTTACAGTAGGGGGCAGCAGCGCGCAAGCATTTGGACAGCGCAACCTTGCGAGAGAAACTGAAGCAAAACCCACTACAAATGGGATAACATGGCGATGTCCTCGGGCATGTCACTCTTTTGCCGTTTAACAGGCAGATCTCTAGGGTCCGTACTCGGTCACGGCCGTGGAAAAACTCTCACAGCTCGGAGATGGTATATTAGTGCCAGTGCAGGAAACCGTGAGTAAACGCATGCTTTCCACGCACCTCACTGTTGACTCCAGTCAAACCGGGAGGTCAGAGGAATTGAGATAATATTTCAGGCTATAATTTCACGCTAACAAGCTATTCTTCTTCTTATGTATACTTGAAACTTCCAGGCAGGTGTGTTGAGGCAAGTTGGAGCTGAAATCTGCAGGACACTGGCCCTCAAGGATCGAGTTTGGTGACCCCTGCCATAAAACTTCCTCATAGGGCTCCGAATGAACATATGATAAAGTTGACATCCTCTGTTTTGTATAAATTGTATGAAATAGTGACAGTAATTCTGTGGGTGACTTTGAAACCTGTGAGACACTCAAATGAGACAGTATTAGTAGTGTTTGCTGGTTCTTATATTTAAACGTTTTTAAAATGTATTAACAAGAAATGGGGAAAGTTAAACCATACAGATAGTGTGTTTTTGTTTTCAGTGTATTTATTTTAATATTTGCCATCGTATTATTGCTGTTTGGTAGTAAATAGTTATTTATCAGCATCATCACACTGAATTATATGGATTGTTTTTAGTGCCAAACAGAACAATAATCATTAAAAGCTAATTAATTACAGGTATGTTCTTATATTACTTTTCATTTTATTTATTGTGTTTAGACATTTAACACACAACACATTTTCTATTGAATCACCCTTTTGATAATCCATCCATATACTTTTATTAGTGAATATTAAATAAAGAGTTCAAATTACACTGATGATTTTGACTGCATTATGTATGTCTGACTGCCAAACTCTTGATAATAAAACAAATTCAAATGAGTCATTTTCTCCCAATTTTTCATGTACACAACCTTGTCATACATGTGCGCAGCGTTTTGTATTTACAGTAGGGGGCAGCAGCGCGCAAGCATTTGGACAGCGCAACCTTGCGAGAGAAACTGAAGCAAAACCCACTACAAATGGGATAACATGGCGATGTCCTCGGGCATGTCACTCTTTTGCCGTTTAACAGGCAGATCTCTAGGGTCCGTACTCGGTCACGGCCGTGGAAAAACTCTCACAGCTCGGAGATGGTATATTAGTGCCAGTGCAGGAAACCGTGAGTAAACGCATGCTTTCCACGCACCTCACTGTTGACTCCAGTCAAACCGGGAGGTCAGAGGAATTGAGATAATATTTCAGGCTATAATTTCACGCTAAAAATCTCCTTTTTTATTAATTATTGTCACCTGATGTTGTACGGAATCTCAATAATGTGAAATGCAAAACATTTCAAAACACAACATGCGATAGAGTCGCGTGTCTCAGCTGATATGCCAGTAGATTGGCACAAGCTAAGAATAAAGGCTCGTGATATTAGCGCAGGTCAGTGTAAATAACAGTGCAAATGTCCCTGTTACCTCGGTGCGATACTGCCACATCATCATCATCATCATCATCATCATCATCATCTTCGTGGTCTCGATAAATTGCCAACGGGAACATTGTTCTCTCACATCAATACTTAAGAGAGTCACTGGTTTTCTTTTATCCGTGTCCAAATTACAGTTCTTCATGATACCAGAGAAATATCACATACAGCTATTGCTATTTCTGATTGTGGTAGGGATTATTAATTAATATGGTATCTCCTTCATATAGTTATAAACTTTCAGAATATTTCTGGAATTTTTAAAACATTTACAACAAGTACTACCATTATAGCTATGAGTTGTAATACCTGAAGTCCCATCCCTCCTAAAACCAGCCAATAGACTACTGACCACTTTAAATTAATACATTATTTAATCAGTTATTCTATCTTTTGCTGTGGTGTGTCTGTAGGAAGTATCAGTTTACATTCCCAAACATTTATTTTGCCATTAATTGTAATAATCCAGTGAGATGTTGACAACAGCCAGTGCTCCACACAGAGATCTGATCTGATCATCATCCAGTCTGTCTGGAATGACATGAAGAAACAGAACAAACTGAGACAGACTAAATCCAGAAGAACTGTGGCAACGTCTCCAAGATGCTTCAAGAGACCTACCTGCAAAGCTACCTGAAAAAATATGCTCAAGTGCACCTATAGGGGAAAAGCTGCTTTAAACGCAAAGGATGATCACACCAAATGTTGATTTAATTTAGTTAATAGAAGTTAATTGATAAAGACAAGTGTCTAAAACCTTTAACAGTACTGTAGCTTTACAGGTAGGTTTCTAAAATGATAGTGAATAATTAGCATATTTATTTAACTTGGTATTAAGAAAACCATGGAATTACAGTGGTATCAGTAAAAATAAATGAAAATTGCATGGTTTATTATTTTGGAAACAATTTACCATATGGTCCCATTCGTCAATGCATTAGCTAACATTAACAAACGAGTAAAATATTATTTATAATAATTTATAATAAACAATAAGCAATTACCAAATTGCTTGTGTATGCAAGCACACTTGATGATAAAGCTGTTTCTGATTCAGATTTTTTTAAAATCAATTGTTGATTAAACTTAAAATACAATTCTAGTTCATAGTTCATTAACTAATGTTAACACATACAGCTTTTGATTTAAAAAATGTGTTAACATGAACTAATATTAACAAATGCTTTAGAAGTATTGTTCATTGTTCATTCACGTTTACTAATGTAGCTAACTAAAATTTAATGAAATGAAAAAAAAAACGTATTGTAAAGTGTTACCATTATTTTATTAGTGCACAAAACACTGGTTAACTCGTGTTATAATATTTTTCCAAAATGTTTTGTGAAAATTTTGGTAAACCAGAAATAGTTGAGCAATATAATAACCACCATTTGAATGATTATTTATTTATAACAGATTTGCAGTTTAAGCTTGATGAGCGGACAGCCCACAGCAGCCTGGACCTTTTTAAGAAGGACACTGGTGTGATCTATCGAATGCTTGGTGTGGACCCCACTCTCGTGCAGGACACCCCTCTCCGATTCCGGGACTGGGCTGTGGTTCTCGCTGACACCCACATTGACTCTGGACGGCACTACTGGGAGGTGATGGTTAAAAAGTCCCATGAATTCCGGGTGGGCGTGGCCGAGGTGTTGACATCACGTGACGAATGCGTGGGCACCAATTCCAGTTCCTGGGTGTTCGCGTTTGTCCAGAGGAAATGGTTTGCTATGACCACTGGCAAGCAGTTCCCGGTGCCGCTGGTGGGGAAACCCGATCGGGTCGGGCTCTTGCTGGACTACGAGGCTGGATGGCTCAGTCTGGTGGACATCCAGAAAGCTGAAGTGGTGTACACGATAAAAACACAGTTCCGCTCGCCCATCAGTCCTGCGTTTGCACTCTGGGACGGGGAGTTGCTCACACACTCTGGACTGGAGATCCCACCAGGACTTTAGTGACTCTTGTTCATTCACACATGGATGCTACATGCCTCTTAATGGATAGAGAAGAAGTAGGGGCCTTATAAAAAGACTAAGGAAGTCAGTGGGAACATGGCTGTTTTTTACTGCCATTAAACCAGATTTGAGCAATAGTTGTCTGTTCAGCTGGTGAAACATCATCACAGTGTACTATTTGAGATATGCAGATGAACTAATGTATCGATATATGCACATAAATACTTGATACGCTTAAAAGTCATTTCTCATTTTGCATCGGTGCCCAAGTAC